TAAAGCCAAGGAATAACACAAGCATTATTTTCACACTAGTATCCGTAGTTAGTCAAACAATCTTGGAAATCAAATCATAATCAAAAGGTACAGTGGTCCCGACACTAAGGTGATTTTTAAAGCAATGCGTTGGTGTATTTGTTTTTAAGGCACCACATACACAGTATGTTGTCAAGTTTAACGACGATAGTTCAAAGAAAGGGTTCAAAATTTAGCAATAGCTTCCTCTTGTTGTGTTCGCTCAAAATGACGCTACTGCTTAGCTTTGCGAATATGGTTCCTGTCAGTGGCTGGCCATGCATTTTATACCTGGACCTTTAGTGGGGACTTACTCTGACATCACAATTACACAAGCCATCACGAACTATACACACAAAAAAAATAAAAAGAAGAGCACTCACAACCTTGCCACGAAGATACATCTGGAGCAGTTCAAAATCAATACTTATACTTGTTTGTAACTTGTTTGTCAAGTTATAATACTCGTAACTTGACAAACCCGTCAAGAGGTTTTGGTGGGTTGGTGAGTTGATGGTAGCAAGCGGTGGACCCAAGACTGGGGAGCAGGCGTAATCGCAAGAAAACAATTTATTGTCCATCCATCCGTTTTGTAATCCACTTATTATCACAATTGCAAACTAGTGCATGTCAAATCATTAAAAATACTAAATTAATGGACTTCTACTTGATAGTGCGTATTATATTCAAGTGTGTTTTATACTTGAGAAATGATGGTAAATCCAGGCAGATTGACAACAACAAAGAGCACCTGGACAAATAGCAAGTGACTGAGGTATCTGATTGGTAGACACAAGGAACCAGGCTGATGAAAACAGGTAGCAACAAAAAGCTAACAAGCGAACATGAAAAAAGGCACACAAGAAAAACCATGACAAAACAAAACTCAAAACAACACAGACCATGCCCAAAAAATTACCAAATGTTTTAAAAAATGCATCATATATGCTGATTATTAAACATATTAATGTGTGCAGATCTCTGTAGAAATGTTTTACCATTCAAACTTGGCTTGGTCTAAACCAACCATTTGGAGGATAGAAAAATGCTGATATGACCTAGCTGGCCGTCTGAAAAAAAATTAGCAAGCCAATAGATTAAGAAAACAGTCCCATTGCTGATATAGTTTAAATTGCTTCAGTCAGCGGCACTGATTCTGAAGGTCCTGGCCAGATTAGATTGTAGATGAGAGATTGGACCAAAAAAAAAAAAAAAAAATCTAACATCCATCTAAAATAGTGGTTTGCAGCCAATAAACATGCTAGCAAATGAAGAGAATAAACTATTGGGAATAAATTCACAAGAGAACAAATATTGTAATTTAGCTTGTAGGTTATTGATTCTGCTTGTGTTTAGTCCAGCAGAGAAGGCCTTCGGGGATATGTGCTAAGCTAACCATCTTGTGCTATATTTAGCGCAAAGCTGTCATCGCTTAATGAAATTCAGCTGTTTATTTAAAAAACTGAGTAGCCATTTTCAGAATATGTTTTTTTAATAATGTAATTGAAAATTATTGTACATTTATTTGGATTCAAGAGGAGAGTTAGCCTTAATTTATTATTGGCAATTTGGCATGTCAAATCTTAGCTGTCCTACTGAATGATAGCATACAATTTAGTTTATCAAATGAATGAATGAATACATTCATGATTGATGATTCAGTGCCGTCCAGGGACATGTTAAAGTGAAACAAATATTCTGAGAGAATTCTTTCTTGGAAAGGGGAGAATCTGACAATGTGTAAATAAATAATATTAAGAGGTCCCTTATATTAAAGTCCAGTTTGGTCAAGACGATCAGGCTTTTTACAAACCCCTTTTTCACAGCACATCATTCCATTGTAGATGAAGTTCCACAGTTCCACCTGAGATGCCAAAAAGTGTTTGATTTTGTGCATGTTTATGACTTTTAAGTGTATGTGCTGTCCGGGTGTTTACATGGCCTAGTCAAATATATAATCGTCAAAGCAATAGCAGCTGCTTTTGGAATGCAAAAGTATTTTCAAAATACAATTTTTATATAAATACAACAGTATTTTCAACAAATAACGTTCAAGGTTTAAAATAGGACCAAAACAATAATATCTTAAGTTTCTCCTTTGAAATGACAAAACCTAATCATTTACATGTTGTTTTATACACTAAATAAATTTCACGTAAATGTTAATTATAGCATGGCAGTATATTTATTTCCAATATCAGTACTTTGGTTTGTTTCGCCTCATTTCAAATTATTTGACCCATCTGGTCAATAATCTGCCACAGGCATAGTTTTAATTAAGACATTTGCATTTATAGATCCGACACCAACAAATAGTCTCATAAATATATTGGTAATGAGAAGCACTATCTATTTTTAATGTCAACATGCTTTCTATACCCACAGTTGATCTTCATCGACAGTATTTTTCCTGTTACCTCTCTCATCATATAACCGCATGGCCGTTTTGTGACGGCGCTTTGGGGAATGTGATCTTTTGAACTCAGATAAAAGTATACATGTGCATGAAGATATAAGACGAACTCCGAAGCGCATCGTCTCATCATTTTCTTACATCCATCACCCACCCTGCACCCTCTCTTCTCTCTCGGCATGATCCTTCTGGTTGTTTCTATTTACAGTATTATGGTGCGCAGGTGCTAGCATGATGTCATCCATTGTGTGTATGCAGTAGTGAGAAATCCAATTGTCCTCAAAGCATGAGCAATATTGTAAGGTCACTTTTTTCAGAGAGGACTCATCCCTGTGTGTGTATTTCAAGAAACCTCTGAATGTAAAACCAAGTTCGATATCGATGCTTTTGTTTGCTGCTAGAAAACAACACTATTTATAAGACTGTATAGGACACAAGCAATATATGGCAAAGTCATGTGTCTGTATTAAAGCACCAGCACTGTAAAACCTAGTTTGAGTCTGTGATGTCTTTGGAGGAATAATGATGGAAAGCAAAATGGAGGATTTAATCAATGAGCAGGGAATGGGTCAGATAGAGTGGAGACTTTTCTATAAGACTCGGATTTCTGTTTTCGGCCTTCCCTGCGGCAAAGTGTTGGTAATGAGGACCATAACAAGCAGATTTCCACCCGTCCGTGAGCTCCCATCTGTCTCTTTCCACCTGGACACTTTCAGTGTAGAGGTAGTGGTGGGAGAAAAAAAAGGATCATGGCCTGAGGTGGAACCTCTTCAGAAGAGCGAAAACTTGGTTGCACTTGTCATTTGAAGACAGTAGATACTGTAGGCTCTGAAGTAGACACCAATTACGCTGGTCAACAAATGTTTCTTTTTTTTTTTTTTTAAAGGGGAAGTCAAGTCATATTTTGTATTCACAATATCCTCAATGTGGCCCCGCTAATCTAAACACAGTATTCTCATGAATAGTGCATTTGTTGAATGTGAAATTTAGCAGCAAAATCCATCTATTTACATCCATCTCACGGGGCGGCCATTTTGCCAAATGACATCACAGTTGCTCAGGGCTCAGGTAACAACCAATCACGGCTCAGCTCGTGAACATCACATGAGCAAACTCAGAAAACAGGTGAACGTCCAAATCTGCTCTTCTATTATCTCTCCCACATCAGGTTTTCATAATAATAACAATGATAACATGTTATAGATTTAGTAATATTTATGAATTAAATGTTAGGCTTAGCAAAGAAGTGGATTTTTTTTCTGACACATCATAGCTACAAATTACGATTTTTGTAAAATCCGTATTCTGCTTATATTGGTCAAACTGAAAACCAAAAAAATCTAAATACTGTATCTCAAAAACCTGATGCTAGAAAAATAGGTAAAACAGTTTTAAAATCAATTTCAGAAATACATTTAAGGACACCCAAAGCCATCTCTGATTCAAATTTGTGTTGACTGTTGTCTTCCACCGTTTCCCTCAGAATCACCCTCCTTCAGCCACCGTGAATTGTTTTATTAAAAACAGGCATTTTAAAAAAATCTCAATAGGTCCATCTCTCAGCTTCTTTGTACTCAAATAACACATAAACCAGAGTTATGTTATATCAAGATGCAGAGTGGTATTGGATATTTTGGGGGAAAAACAATCCATGTGTTGAGCATAACTGTACAACATACTATTACGGAAGCAATGTAAAAGTAAAATTATGAGAGGAAATAGTGAAGTCACGGGAATAATGTCATGAGAATGAGGTCATAATGCTGCAGTTCAAGAAGTTGTCCAAGTATTTTTTTTTCCAGGAAAAAGGCTGTAAGTAAGTAGGAAGGAAGAACCCCCCCCCCCCCACAAAAATATAAACACAGGTCACAGCAAATAACAGCCACAGGTTCTCTCTAGAGACCTGTCATGTTTTTTTGATAGGGACACTCTCTTAATCTCGTTAAATATTTGTTAAAAGCACTTGCAGTTACATGATAAAAGAAACCCAAGAATTTCCAAATTATTGCTTCAGTCTTTGTGATAAAAACTAATACAGCTAGATTTATTTCTTGTAATAGCATGACTGCTTCATTCTTATAACATTATGACTTAGTTCTTATAAAATGATAGCTTTAATCTTAAACCCCCCCCAAAAAAAGAAAGAACGTAAAGCTGTACCGTCAAACCACACGGTGTAGACTAGGAATATGATTTTTCAAAGCATAAAATAAAAAAAATAAAAAAATGCTAAAACTGTTCCTGAACTATTTGCATCTCATATTTAAAGATTCTTCCATTGTTGCAGCTCCTCAAAGACTGACAGCATTTTCTAGAAGAGACACATTGTGCTGTCAGGACACAGCTGGTGGCTGTCAAAGCCGTCCCAGAGAGACTGTTGTGGTGCCATAATAAAGAATATGATGACAAAGGAAGGGAGAAACAAATGCTTGCTGTGTAAAATGATAAACACACTTGGTTAAAAAAAAAAAAGAAAAAAAAAAGAAAGAAAGAAATGTTTTTACAACCTCAATTTGACCTTGATCGGTTCACCTGTTAATTGGCATATTTTTTATGAAATGTTTGCTCCAATGTTTGCTGTCAACTCAAACCAGCTTGCAGTCACAGACGTTTGACTATAATTAAGTTTACACATTTTCCCCCCTCTGAGAGCAAATATATTTAAGCAAAAGAAAAAAAAATAGCAAAGAGGACATGCAGCCAACATCCTCTCTGAGACACATTTAAGTCTGTCTTAATTCCTGCACAGAACAAAACAGTCCATAGTTTAATGGAAAGTCAATAATAAATAGGCCATTTGATGTACAGCAGATCCATAAAAATCAGTCCAATGCATGTGCCATGTTCGCTTTCTTTATCGTCCTGTGAGAAAAGTTCGTCCAACATGTGCCAAACTGTCCATTTTCAGCAGGGTGCCACGAAAACAATTCAAAGGTTCGACTTGGGTCCAGAATTGACTGGGATGGCCCTGAGCTCGGTCCGCATGCACAAGTACTCGCCGATGACCGCCATCAACGCCATGCAGGCCAAGTTGACGAGCCACCACGAGAGCGAAGAGGGAAAGCGAGCATTATAGATCCAACAGATGATCAAATGGAAGAAGTGCACCGTGACAGTGAAGTCCAGGCACTGCTTGCCCCGGCGGATGAAGAACCACAAGCCCAGTGCGCTGTAGCAATGATACGTTCATTAATTCATACTGAACACACAAAAACACAGCAGGTATTGTGTTTTGATGATTTTGACTTTTGATACAACTGCAGACACGACCGCCACCAACCAATGCATTTGCAAAGATAATATTCGCTTTCATGGACTTTCAGCTTTAAACAAATCAGGTGAATGGTGTTGGAATTACAATAGTTTGTATATTTGCCCCACACCTTTTAAGGGACCCAAGTAATGGGACAAATTAGCAATTATGGCTGGGTGTGAATGTTTGGTGGTGCTCGGAGGGAGTGTCGGCCCACACTGACAGCCCCGCTTATGTCAAACTGCTCCTGGGCTGCTGTGGTTACATACATAGTTTACAGCCACCACAATCTGAATTTATGAGTGCATGTAAAGTATCCATTGTGGGCGCTTTAAGATTGTTAGAGAAAACTGGCATTTGAATCTGATGCATTCATATTATTATTGAATATCTGATTTAATATCTGAACTGACTGATTCAAACAAAGTCACTCAAGTTGACTTTTGACTGAATGGGCAACTCCGCAGGGGCCCAAGTGCATCACTGGGTCCGGTTTGAGGCCTATTACCACTCCCCCGACCCCCAACAAATCTCTGCATTCACTTTACAATGTCTTAATATTAAAGCTGAATGTCGATTCAAAATCTGATGTAATGGTGTATAAAAAGTTCCCATTCATTTGTGTATATCATCCATATGTAAGTGTTAGTCAGTTTAGTTGTTATAAAGCCTCACCAGGTAAGAGAGTTCAGAACGAACGCCATCATTGAGAGCCTGCCCAGTATCGATGCAAAACCAAGGACCTAACAAACAAATAACAGTGTCACTAGGTGTACAAACTCGGCACAAAAATATAACAATTACCATTCTGGGTTAAAATGAAGGCCTGCACTCACTTCATAGCTGAAGATCTGGTCCAGTGAGCTATGTGTTGGCACAAGACAGTCCACTCCTGCCAACCACAAGCCGAGAAAGCTGTAGTAGATGCATTGCATCAACACAATTTGAAACACAATGAGGACAGGGTCCCAGATGTAGCTTCGGAAGTGGCTACCCATTGTGGACTCAAAATGCAAATCCAAAGGAAGATTTTAGCTGGCCCAGCTGTTAACAGATATGCCATTCACGGTGTGTCAATTGCAGCATCTGAAGAAGAAGAAAAAAAAACACGTCTCAAATAGAAGACCTCATGCTGGCATTCCTTTTTAACCCAATCATAACTCTTAACAAAAAAAAAATGGTGTTCTCCTGCTTCAATAATTAATGTGTCACTGCCTCTTTTAAGTTGAATTCAACGCATTTGACTCTCCCTTTTTTCTCTTGTCCATGGGGAGAGGTATGCTGTCTCCATATAATGACAAGGAGGACATTGCTTTCTGCTGTTTTCGCCAGGGTTTGAGATTGAGACCATTAAACGCAACCAGCACAAGAAATCCTGCTGTGCGTCATCAATATTCTTAAACACACATATTACTTTAACGATGCCTGTGTCCATGAAAAAAAAAATCTAATCTAATAATGTAAGAAACCGGGACACAGTGCGAAAAGGTTCTCTTGATATCGTGTTCAAACAGGTTAGAGATTGAAACACCGTTTGATAGAAACAACAAATGTCAATTGCGACGGCCAAACACTCGAAATAAAACGATTGTGCGGACAACAACGGAGCTAACCAAATGGTAATTAAAACGTGTTCAACGGTTAGCCAATGCTATAAAACCTACGAACACACACTAAATACAATACACATTAAAAATAATAAAACGTAATGCAAAATTACAACGCGACTGTGTGACTTCCAGTTCACCCCGGTTTAGCCGTACTGTGAGGGCAAGTTACAACGGCTATTCAAAATGAGAAAAATAGGGACCTCTTAAAAAAAAAGAGAGAGCGAGATACATAGCAGACCTGACCATTGAAGCTGGAAAAGATGAACGACTAAAATAATCCAATCACTTGGTTTTTACACCCATTATAAACTTGCTAAAATCCAGGCCTCCATTCCTACCAGACAAGTCCAAAACACCAGTCAAGTCATAACTTTGAACCGGAAACATTCTTGAACCGGAAAAAGATGGGGTTAAGTGCGAACTTTCAAAATAAAACACATTATGAACCAACAGGCCTCCTAGTAAATTACAGTACAGTATTCCTTACGTGACGATTTCCGGATAATATGACATTATCGCTAGAGGGCAAAATAAATTACTTAAAATTTTTTTTAAAAAATGACTATTTGTGGTTTCGTGATCTGTTTATTTGCAGAATGCTTAAAAGTACTGTACTCTGTAGCCATGAAAGACGTCTAGACTAAGGGTGAACATTGACACGTTTACACTAATTACTAGCTCACTACAGAGAGAATCTGTTTTGCACAATTAAAATTGTCTAAATTTGGCCATTCTGTCATTTGTCATATGTGATTTGTCTTTTGAATTGATTTTGCTTACGAAGTTATCCGCTCAAATTTTTAGAAAGGGTGTGTGTGCGATTTACACTAAGCTGAACACTGAACGGATACCGGTTTCCCCACTATAAATTACTCTGACATGTTAAAGCAGGTTTTGCATATTTCTCTTACTGGCAAGTGTGATCTCAGACGCAAAACAGTCAGGATTTAAGCTGAATTTTGCTGATAAATCTGGCAAAACATCTGGACCAAATCAACTCTGTTGAATACTATCAAGGTAAGCCTTTGTGTATTATACAATACAATTTTTGGTTTTGGTTTTGATTTTTTGCACGCAAACTAAATCCAGCATATAGTATCATGGTAATTGTAATAGTGAAACCGAACAGTATTGCCAATAAACATACAACAGACCTCTGCATACTCATGGTTCGACGAACGTGGAGTCACCTATTTGCACATTTTCCCGCCCCACTATTTAACTTTTTTTTTTTTTTAATTTAAAAATTATTCATTTATTTAATATTAACGCCAACCCCCATTTGTCATGGAAAACCCTTATTGGTTGTTATCCTCGCTTATGCAAGAATAATATATATATAAAAGATAAGATAAGATATCCTTTATTTGTCCCATACTGGGGAAATTTACAGTCTACAGCAGCAAGATTGTGGGTAGAAAGAAGAAAGAAGAAAAACAAAGTGTATGCATTCACAAATTCACAAAAATATATATATATATATACACACACACACACACACACACACACACACACACACACACACACACACACACACACACACACACACACACACACACACACACACACGGGTTCATTTATTAGCACTTCTACTCAATGAATAGTAGGCAATCGGTAATAGGTATACATGTACTTAAATGTCGTCTGCACTTTACTGCATTCCTTGAAAAGTGGTTATAAAACCAGATATTTTAAACTGTGTGGTTTGTATAAAATATGTATTTTATAAATAAATGCAGAAAAGAGCCCAGTACATTTCCATTAATTTATTGTCATTTTAGGCCTCTGTACGATATCAGGATATATATACATTGGTATTTTGATCAGCATAAGAAGATTTACCATTCATGGGGTTCATGTATGAATTCTACTGAAGAAGGCATGACAACATAAGAACAGGTAATGGACAACGTGTCAAATCGGTAATATTTTGAAATTGGTAAACATCACTAGCTTACTTCCTGATTAAACATTACCGCTATCTTTTTTTCCTTTGACTGCACAGAGAATTAAGGGTCAAGGTTCATTTCAAGCCATGGAGCACATTAACCCTCCAGTCATTTCCAAGATATTGTTAACGCAGTGAGCGTGTGGAAAGCAGTTCTAAGACATCACAGGATCATTTCTTGTTTCTCCACTGATGTCCATTTCCAGGACAGACTAAGCATAATGATTGGGACTCAGGTGCGAGTGGCAGTATACCGGCATCTCATAGGAAAGCAGCTGACTCCTCGTGTTTGCCTACACAGGAAAACTTGCTGGTTGCATAGTGCTGTAGGTAAGAAAAATAGCAATAGCGTACTGTAAAAATGTTGGTGTGGTGTGTCATACATATCATCTTGGCACAGACATTTAATATTCATGATTGCTAGAGATAAAGTCCAAGCCGGGGGTTTTAGATATATTTTGAGTTCAGGTTCTTCTTGATTTCTATGTTTGCAATACTTCTAACTGCTTCTAACGTGCCACTGAGTGGACTGTTTAGCATTGTTATATGGACCCTGTTGTGAACCCTGACTGGGATGCACAAATGGCCAATGCCAAAGTTTGTGTGAAATGGCTTTTTGTTGAATCTCAAGTGAAATCAACTCTTCCTCTGGAAACCTGGATAGAACTTTTTGTGATGCTCATAATCGTCTGTCACATTTCCTTATATTGACACCATGTGTATGAAAACAGGTTCTTGGACTTGAATTGAATTGTTTCTTATTTACTATTTTCACATGGTACCTGCGATGAGATGGCGACGACTCCAGGGTGTACACTGCCTCTCAACCAATGTCAGCAGAGATAGGCTTGACTCGCGCTAACAGCAATTTACCCAGTAAAATCTGACCCACGGCCCTTTTAGATCACAGCAAAAAAGTTAAAGTCTTTCCGACAGTGGATTCGGAGCCATTGTAAAGTCTGGAGTAATATGCTGTAATCACGTTGTTCTGGTCAGAACCCCAAATGCAGCTTTTTGAATGAACTACTCTTTTCAGGGAGTAGAGTAAAAATACATTACAAAACTCAAGTCTTCTAGAGGTAAAAGCAAAGATAAGCTTCTCCTGTTCTTGTTGGAGCATGCGACCCTTCATTGTAGGCATGTTTTTCAGCTGGTAAAAGGCTGTGTAAGTGATTGATTTGATCTGACTGCTGAAAGTCACATCTGAATCTATGGGCAGACAAAGTTGATGGAAATTTCGGTTCATTCGGTTCAATTACTTTTTTCTCTGGGGGCATTAGACAGTGACACAACACCTTAATTGAACTGTAGTCATTTGGTGAGACTGTCAAATATACCTGCATGCCATCTGCATAGTCATGATAGTCAACATTAGCGTGCCGAAGATTTTGACCTAAGTGTAACATGAACAAAAGGGGTCCGAGCATGGACCCTTGAGGGACCCCTTATGTCATGGCCATTTGATCAGATTGGCCATGGTCACAAAACTACAAATGGTCACAAAAAGATTCCTTACCGCCTAATAAGGCCTGGACCAGTTTGTACAGACTCTCTGAACATTACACACTTATCTCCACCAGCGATGCAATCGAGGACCAGTACCAGTCCAGCTCCTGTGCTGACAGTCACTCCAGCCCGCGGCCTTGTGGATGATCCAATATGCATAAAGGCAGGTTTCATGCCACCAAACCATCCGGTGACATTGTGCGCACAAATGCGCAGTGAGAATGGTGACCTGTGGGAGGCTTTTGGCCACTATAACACCAGTGCAGATGGAACCGTCAACCGTGAGTCATGTTCTCACACATGTAGTTCATTGACAGTATGATGGCACCGTCAACCGTGAGTCATGTTCTCACACATGCTGTTCATTGACAGTATATCACATTTGTGTAAACTTTCTTTTTTAACCGAAACATGCTTAAACGCATGATTGGCAAAGCTTTGGATTCTTAAATTAATGTATAGCGAATGACACAAACCACAACCTTGTGAATGCACTAGCTTTCAAATATTGTTTATTATGGCTGATGCAAGTTTATTGACTAAAATGTCAAATTCGATGTCAGACATGATTTCCCCATGACACATGTTGCTACTTGTGATCTTCTGTCGACCTTCTACTGCCCTTCTTTCTTGTGCCTTCACCAGTTGCTCGGGATCATTCTGTGGGTGGCTCGTATTTGGGATGTGAGCCAATGGGTCTCTTCTGGGCCCTGCAGCCAGGTCCTGGTGAAAGGGATGGTTTAAGGCAGGTGCACAAAAATACATATCTCATTTGAAGTGGTCTCGCATTGTGTTCCTAGCTTCATGTAGTGTCACAATCTCATGTCATTATAATAAATATTTCCACACAACTTTGTAGGGTGGCGCATAGGCCAAGAAATTGCTGTCTTGCTTAGGTCACGATCTGATTCTGGTAATTTAATTTCACCATTTGAGTGAATTTTGCATCAAGTGAACTGTGCACACCTCCCATCTGTTCATCATTTTCCATTAGCTATAAAGTAGCAGATGGACAATGAATACAAACACGATCCTCCCAAGATTTCTTCTTTTAATAATTTGGTCGAGGCTGAGGTCAACACACTGTAGTTCTCTGTGACAATCTCGTTTTTTTTGTATGTCGACATTTAACACTGCTAGAAGTGGAAATCAAATGCTTTCCTAAAACCTTTGAACAGTGAGATATTAAGTGTCTATGTTCATTGTTTTCAGGTTTCTTTTTGTCATATTCATTGATCAGATATTTTGACTTGTAGTCCACAGGACTATCAAAACCTCATGTCGTGCTGTTATCGTTGCTGTGGAAGGGTAGAAAATGACACTATTGTTGTTTTTTCCAAAGGCTGCGGAAGAAGAATGTCAAGATTCCACTAATCGTGGACATTTCTTTACTGGAAGGTCATGTGACTCCCAGAGAGCGAGAGAACTCTGAGTTGGCTGTTGCAACCACTGAGCGCTGGTACATGGCACCAGGTGTTCAAAGAATAGACATTCGCCAAAATGGAGTTGTGGGAACGTTATTCTTACCGCCGGGTGAGCACAAATGTGATCACAAATGTTCCTCTTTTAAGTGTCTTTCCTCTAATCTTGTTGCATTGTCTTGGTAGGCCCGGGCAGGTTTCCAGCCGTGCTGGACTTATGGGGTATGGGTGGAGGACTAGTGGAGTACCGCTCATCCCTGGCTGCATCCAGGGGCTTTGCCAGCTTCTCCATCGCCTACATGGAACACAAGGATCTGACAGTCCAACTGGATATTGACAGTTCGGATGCATATATGAAGGCAAGATGCACCTATATGTTAGGTGACAGGAGCCGTTCAAAGTAGGCTATGAGAAAGGAAGGTTCCCTGTTGAGCAAGGGTAAAAAATAGGTCACTTTATTATGACTGAAACCGTGCGCATATCGTTTTATTTAAGTATTTACTTCTGCATTTGGTTTTCATTTTGCCAACATATCGATGGATAACTTGTTTGAAATCACAAGTTAGCAAAAATAAATAAAATACTGACAAGCATCAACGTATTTAACTACATGTTTAAGGATTTTTGGTCACACAAAAAAAAATGTTTGGAAGATCTTTTTGGATCACTTAATTTTGAGCTAAAAGTGGAGGTTCTTTTTTTCTGTTTATAAATAATTTTTGGCATACTGGGTGGAAATTACTTAAGAGGACAAAAAATTAATTTACTCCACTTTGGACACTTCAGCAAGCGCTGCACCATCTGGGCCAGTCCAGGAAAATCCTAAACTTGAATGTTGATCCTACAACAGCCTTTTAAGTGTGCTGCATATGCCCACCAGTAACATTTGAAAATGATGCCACAACTTAACGGAACTTCATTCATGAAATGAACGATGTCATCTAATGTTTTATTTTTCTTTTTTCCCTCCCCTTTTGTTCAGAAAGCAATTAATATCCTTCGAGAACATCCTCAGATCTGTGGTGATCGAATTGGTATCATTGGTCTCTGCTATGGAGTCTACCTGACCCTCCGAACAGCCACACTCTCTGATGTAAACGTACGTCGCACAGTTGTGTACAGTATACCGTATTTGAAAGTGTGGAAATTGCTTCTTGAACTTGCAAAGTCAAACATGTACATGAATGCAAATCTAACATGATGTTTCTCTGTGTGGTATGGTACATCATCCACCATTAGTTTTAGGCCCACTTTAAATAGTATCCATTCATCAAGATGCAACGTTGGAAATGAGAAACCGGTTGGTGATGGTGTTGTTTGCCTTGTATTAAAAATTGTCACTCTTTTTGACAGCTATCCTGTTTGGTTTGTGTAAATGGCTCAGCCGGAAGCAACGTGGCGCTCACACAAACCTTTTGCAAGCCTCAAGCATCAGAAAGGTATTTACAAAAAAAAAAACAGTTTACAGTTTCGGGTGGGTATAGAAATACACTGTAGCTGGTCGGGGTTAGAAATCTTGTGTAGAATATCACCTCTGTTTTCATTTTCTGGAATCGCGAAACAAAACTTTTTCCGAATGATCTGTTGTTTTCTGTGAAATTTATTTTCAGTGACCAAAGACTTTGGCCACGGGATGAGGCAGGTTATCTCAGTTTTAAGAAACTGGGTTCACCCAAAAACTTTTCTCCTGGGACCCAAGTGAAGGTGATGTGAAGACCAGCTCGGTAAATTGGAAACCATAGAAAAAATACTGGGAATGTGTCTGATCCTTGCAGATAGAGAACCTGGCCTGTCCATTGCTGTACATTTTGGGTGAAGATGACCAAAATTTTCCAAGTACTGAGAATGCAAACCTGGTACAAAAATATGAGTTAACCTCTTCTCAGTCGACGTGGCTGCACATTTCAAGTTAATACAGCTCCACTTTTGTGCTTTTCAGATTGAAGATATCCTGAAAACAGCTGGTAAATCCCACCTGTATACCTGTTTGTCATATCCTGGCGCCGGCCACCTGATCGAACCACCTTACACACCACACTCAAGAATGTCTGTGTGGAGAATCAAACCAGAAAAAAGTGAGATCTCCGACAAACAAAAGGGGTCCGAGCATGGACCCTTGAGGGATCCCTTACAATTCTCGAGCGTGTGAATTAATAACCAGACACTCGACTGCAATACCACGTGTCCTGTGTACGGTCGAAATATCTAATATTTCAAAATATCTATCTGTTTCTCTTGCAGTGCTCGCGTTGTGGGGGGGTCATACTGCACCGCATGCTGCTGCACAGGAAGATGCTTGGAAGGAAATCCTCAAATTTTTGGACAAAAATCTGAGGGCGTGAACTTGAGTGTTATGTAATAAATATAAAGTTGCCCTTGCCACAGATGCACCACAAAGGAAGGTGATGTTCGGTCGTGATGACAATGAATGAATCTTGAATGATGTACAGGGGGAAGTGGGGAAAAATTACCCAGTCAAGAAACAACTAACTGCACTCTTTTATGTTGTGACTGATAGTTTCCTAGTATTTACAAGTTAACTCCTCAGGTCTTTTCACGGGTAGTGTTATCACAGCTTTAGTTACAAATGTTGAATTGTGAATGATATCGATTCTGATGAAACCTTTTCACCTTGACTCTCATTTAACGAAATAGCTAACTAACTTAGCATCAGGTCTAGGATTTAATCAGACCCTGAAGACAAAGTTCGGAAACATCAGAGAGACAAGAAGAGGCAAGCAGAGTTGTCTTTCTTGCAAAGAAAGCGCGCTGAGACATGTCTCAGTTTACAATCTCGGAATAGCTTTGCAGCTATCTTAGATGTGGAAACCGTTACAGACCCTGGACAGCTCTGAAGAAACAGCCTTTGTCTCCTTGTATTTATTAAAGGATGTCTCTGATACACGATCTTCTCAGCGGGTGTGGGCGAGTGTTTCAGAACAGCACTGAGTTCTCCAAATGGGGCATTCAATCAGAACACACAGATCATTCCCGAGGTGGTTAGAGGGGTCATGCTGGAGGTTAGTGGTCCGTGATCGCAGCCGTTGACGCCCCACAGTGCAACGTCCTGGGGTTGATGTTATCTTCATAAGCAGAAGTTAATTTTATCAGAGGCCGTTAACTTCATCAAAGGGTGTTAACTTCAAAGCTGCTAACAGGAGCCTAGAGGCCTCCCCAAACGGACAAACCACTCAGAGTAAACTCATCTCATAGTAAATGGGTTTTTTTGCAAGATAACACTCCTAAGCAAATGTTTTGTAAATATAATCATAGTAAATACTGTATAACCTATGCACATATATTCTAACACTTAGTACACACAGCTGTCATGATGATGTGCTGAACTGCAATTCTACAAACCCAATTCCAATGAAGCTGGGACACTGGGTTATACATAAATAAAACCAGAATACAATGATTTGCAAATTGTGTTCAACCTACATTAAACCTTTGTGCTTTATGGCTGCAACACAGTCCAAAAAAAGGTGGGAGAGGTGGCAAAAAAGATGGAGAAAGTTGAGGAATGCTCATCAAACACCTATTAGGAATATCCCACAGGAAACTGGGAACACGTGTGCGCTATGATTAGGTATAAAAGGAGCTTCCTGAATTGTTTAGTATTCACAAGCAAAGATGGGGTGAGATTCAGCTCTTTGTGAACAACTGCGGGAAAAAATAGTCAAACAGTTTAATGAACAACATACAATTGCAAGGAGATTAGCGATTTCATCATCTCCAGTCCATAGTATCATCAAAATCAGTTTGAACCTCACATGTGTTTTCTTTGTAGTGGATTCAATTAAAAATAGGTTGAACATGATTTGCAAATCATTAAATTCTGTTTTTATTTAAGTTAAACACAGCATCCCAACTTCATAGGAATTGGGTTTGCACACCACCTAATACTATAACCACAATAATAAACACATCAATCAAGATGATCATTATTATTTTTGTAAGGGGGATATTTGCTCCAGCTCTTATACTGGATCGTTATATTATGCAAGTGGTCATAATGTTACAGCTGGTCGGTGAATATCTCTTGGGAGATTTCAATTTTGAAAGGTCCTTTCGCAACATATTCTCAGGGTATGAGCTCCACGTTCATCAACTCGCGACTGGGTGTGGTGAGGTAAATATTTCTCACATTTGCCATGCTGGCGAATGGCCAATTTGTCTATCAATTTAGCCCCCAGTCAACCTGCGTCAAAATCCTTGGCTACAAAAGTGTGTGAGTAACACTGGTCAATTGCACATTTTAATCTGAGATGGCTTGACATGTCCCGAAATGTATTTATGATAATGATTTGAAAACATGTTTTTACTTTTTTTCCAGCACATAGGTTTTTGGAGATATTTTCATTTTTCGTTTTTACATTTGACCCATAAAAGCTTGTGCAAAAAGGATTTTAATATGTCATTAATAAACAGAAATTGTGAAGAGCAGACGTGTTTGTTTGTTTTTTTATTTCATGTGCCATCCGCAAACATTTCCCAATGCAGACCTGACATCAGATAATCCTACGATGCACATAAATTAATATCTTCATGGTAGTAGTACAGCATACTACAGTATTTAATAAAGCCGCATGTGACAAATGTTTGTAACTACTGTACTGTATACATACATTATATTTGTCTATCATGGTGGCTATAAAATATAATTATCTAATGTCTATAATTGTAACAGAAATGTAGTAAATAACATTCAACCAATGCAGTGGTTCCCAAACTAAAAAGTACCACAAAGTATCAACATAAAAACCAACCATGAACAGCAGAATGAATTCCGAAGTGTACAAAGCCACTTTGTCTGGTAATTTCCAGAAAAAAAAAATCAAACTAATAGATGGGAAGCTTCAACATGCAAAAAGACAATGATCCAAACACACTGCCAACAAAACAAAGGACTTCATCAGGGGGGAAAAAGTAGAAGGTCTTAGACTGGCCAAATCAATCACTGGACCTGAACCCAATAGAGCACGCATTTCACCTCCATATTGGGAGACTGAAGGAGGAAACCACAGAAATTCGAATGAACTGATAGAGGCTGCTGTAAAGGCCTGGAAAGCATTTCAAATGGAGAAATGGAGGCTTTTGATCTCTTCTGAATTGAACCACGGTATTGAAATAAATTTCCTTATGTGACAATATTCTAATTTATTAAGACGTACCTGCAGCTAGCGATTTCTTGTTGAAAGAAGCTGGAAGGTCTGATTTGCACTTGTAAACATCGCACGCCCCGGCTTCCCGATTCCTTGTGCTCACCTGGACGAGAAAGCGCCACAGCCCGCCTTCCTGCCCTTACGTCAAGAAGGTGGAATAAAGCAAAAAAAAAAAAAAAAAATCCACCCATCACGAATGCAAATCTAAAAGTTACATCAAATTATCCATCATTCTCTCATGTGGACTCAGTGAGCTCGTAGAAACCAGTTTGAGGACATCACTGTAATGCTTCTTGTTTCTTCACGGATGTCCATTCCTTTCATGATGTTTGGAACTCAAATGCGAGCGGGACCATACCGGCATCTCATAGGAAAGCAGCTGACTCCACATGTTGACCTACACAGGAAGACTTGTTGGTTGCATAGTACTGTAGGTAAGAAAAATAGCAAATGTGTACAGTAAAAATGTTTGTGTTGTGTGCCATGCACATAATTAATAACTAAAGACATTTAATATTAATTATTGGTAGCGAGACAGTACAAGTCTCAGGTTTCAGATGAGTTTAAGTTCAGGTTGTTCTTGATGTCTTAATTTGCACTGCTCCTGATCACATGTGGCTGAGTAGACAATTTACTATTATTGCTGTATTTGGACGATGTTATACATCTTTATTGGGATATATAAATCGCCAATGCCATAATTTTTGCTGATAAGTGAAACCAACTCTTACTGCAAAAACGTGGCGACATCCTCTCCGACACCACGTTCATGTAAACAGGTTCTTGGACTTGAATTGATTTGTATTTCCCAATACAAAACAACTTTCTTCAAAAACATGGACCCAATTCTAATGAGTCTGTTGGGTGAGTCCGCTGTTGATGCCAAAAGAGCATCTGACTTTCATAAAGCACAGACCTATGGTGGTTTTTGGTGTGTTTACTTTTTCCCAAGGATATTAGAGACAAACCAAAGAAGAAATTGATAATGACGACAAGAGAAATACAGCAATAGCTTCTTTCCTAAATCACTACTTTCAAAGACATTTGCCAAGTACTTCTGATTTGATTGTCGCTTACAGAATTTTACCCATTAAAAACACTGTTTGGATCTCAGCTCTGACCTGAATAAGGGCTTTTTAAGACTATTGTTTGACACACACTCTGAACCTGACACACTTCTCCACCAGCAAAGATTTTGACACAAGCGTAACATGTACAAGCTGAACAAAAGGGGTCTAAGCACGGACCCTTGAGGTACCCCATCTGTCATGGCCATTTGATCAGATTCCAAACTTCCAATGGTCACAAAAAGATCACTTTTGTCCAAATAAGGCCTGGACCAGTTTGTACAGACTCTCTGAGCATGACACACTTGTCTCCACCAGCAATGCGATGGAGGACCAGTACCAGTCCAGCTCCTGTGCTGACAGTCACTCCAGCCCGTGGCCTCGTGGATGAGCCAATCAGCATAAAAGCAGGTTTTATGCCACCGCAGTATCCGGTTACATTGTGTGCACAAATGCGCAGTGAGAAAGGTGACCTGTGGGAGGCTTTTGGCCACTATAAGACCAGTGCAGATGGCACCGTCAACCGTGAGTCATGTTCTCACACATACTCTTCATTGACAGTATATCGCGTTTGTGTAAAATGTCTTTTTTAACTGAAACATGCTCATACACATGATGGGCATAGCTTTAGATTCTTAAATAAATGCATAGTGAATTGTTCAGTATGAATGATGAAAATTCTTGGATGTAATGACAATTTTACTGTTGCTTATGATGTCCGGTCGAGCTTCTGCTGCCCTTCTTTCTTGTGCCTTCAACAGTTGCAAGGGATCATTCTGTGGGTGGCTCGTATTTGGGATGTGAGCCAATGGGTCTCTTCTGGGCCCTGCAGCCAGCTCCTGGAGAAAGAGATGGTTTAAGGCAGGTGCACAAAAACACATATCACATTTGTCATGGTCTTGTATTGTGTTCTTAGCTTCTTGTGGTGCCACATCCTCACAGTGACTACAGAGTTGTACTGCCACTAGCTGTCGACTGAAAGGAACATCACAATGCCTCAAGGCTCAGACACCTCACTTGTTTTCCGGGTTTGGTCATTTGACATGCGCGCACATGATGTTTATATTTATTACTTATATAATCATTTAACTCAACTCAACTGTATTTATACATTGCTAGAAGTCAAATTCATATTGTGTCCTCAAACCTTTGCAGAGTGCTGTATGATTTGGCCTCAGCATATGTTCATTGTGTTGAGTTTCTTTAAGTAATGAATCAAGAGTATTTTTGATCTATGGTCCACAGGACTATCAAGACCTTGTGACAAACTGGTATTGTGACCAGGAATGGGTAGAAAATGACACAATTATTCTTTTTTTTATTTTTTTTTTTTGCAAAGATTGCGAAAGAAGAATGTCGAGACTCCATTCATAGTGGACATTTCTTTACTGGAAGGTCATGTGACTCCCAGAGAGCGAGAGAACTCTGAGTTGGCTGTTGCAACCACTGAGCGCTGGTACATGGCACCAGGTGTTCAAAGAATAGACATTCGCCAAAATGGAGTTGTGGGAACGTTATTCTTACCGCCGGGTGAGCACAAATGTGATTACAAATTTTACTCTTTTAAGTGTCTTTCCTCTAATCTTGTTGCTCTCTCTTGGCAGGCCCGGGCAGGTTTCCAGCCGTGCTGGACGTATGGGGTATGGGTGGAGGACTAGTGGAGTACCGCTCATCCCTGGCTGCATCCAGGGGCTTTGCCAGCTTCTCCATCGCCTACATGGAACACAAGGATCTGACAGTCCAACTGGATATTGACAGTTCGGATGCATATATGAAGGCAAGATGTACCTAAGTTAAGTGACGGGAAGGGTTTAAAGTGTGAGAAAAAAAGGCTTCCTTAAGAGCAGGGGTGTCAAACCTTCATCGCGGGTCATATCATGACTGAAACCACATTGGTTGGACAGGGACCAAACACTGCATCAGTGGGCGTGGTACCCCATAGTCACAGAAATGTTGCATTGGATGTCGCGCAAAAATATTTTTTAGGGCCAATTAAGTGAAAAAAGGGAATGGCACACTGTTTGGAAATTGCTGATTAAGATGATACGGTATGTATTTCTCTCTCTCTCTCTCTCTCTCTCTCTCTCTCTCTCTCTCTCTCTCTCTCTCTCTCTCTCTCTCTCTCTCTCTCTCTATATATATATATATATATATATATGAAATGATGATCATTTTTTACCACAGCATGCTGCACATGACCACCATTGACATTTCAAAATGACACCACAAGTTAACAGAACTTCACTTATTTTACTACCTTAACCACAGTGTATTTTGTTTGCCTGTTTTTTTTTCTCCAGAAAGCAATTGATATCCTTCGAGATCATCCTCAAATCTGCGGCGATCGAATTGGTGTCATTAGTCTCTGCTATGGAGTCTACCTGACCCTCCGAACGGCCACACTCGCTGATGTAAATGTACGTTGCACAGTAATGTACAGTTGCGTACTTAGTTCACCATTTCCGTGAATTCAAATCTAACATGTTTCTCATGCGCTGTGTGGCATGGTCCGCCAGCATCAGTTTTAGGCCCAATTTAAATAGCATACATTAATCAAGATGCAATCTTAGCAATGAGAAATCAGGCGTTGACTATGTCGTTTGCCTAATATTAAAAACTTGACTCTCTTCTCCAGCCATCCTGTTTGGTTTGTATCAATGGACCAGCAGGAACCAACATGGAGATCGTCCAAACCTTTTGCAAGCCTCAATCATCAGAAAGGTATTTGGGACGTAGTTTACAGTTTAAGTCGTAGAAACCCACTGTTGTTGCTTAGGGTTGTTGATTCATGGAATCTCACGATGACTTTTCCCAAATGATCTGACATTTTCTTTAAAATTACTATTTTCAGTGACCAGAAATGTTGGCCACGCAATACGGCAGGCTATATCTGTTTTAAGGACACGACTTTGCCCCAAAACTATTCCCCTGGGACCCTAGTGAAGGTGACGTGAAGACCATCTTGGTAATTTAGAAACAATATAACAAAAAAATAAATCTTGAAATGTGTCCCATCCTTGCAGATAGAGAACCTGTCCTGTCCATTGCTGTACGTTTTGGGTGAAGACGACCAAAATTTAAGCAGCACTGAGAATTCAAAACTGGTACATATTAGCTTACTTTTTCACAGTAACAGTACGTTGATTTTTGTGCACATGAGTGCAGCTCAGTTTTTGTGCTTTTCAGATTGAAGATGGCCTGAAAACAGCTGGTAAATCCTACCTGTATACCCGTTTGTCGTATCCTGGCGCCGGCCACCTGATTGAACCTCCGTACGCACCACACACAAGAATGTCTTATTGGAGGGTCAAACCAGAAAAACGTGAGATCTCCAAATTATTATTTGGTTTCGCACAATTCTTGTCAAGCTGTGCATTAACAATCAGACGACACACAAGAATGTCTTATTGGAGAGTCAAACCAGAAAAAAGTGAGATCTCCAAATTACTATTTGGTTTCGCACAATTCTTGTCAAGCTGTGAATTAACAATCAGACACCCGATTGCAATGCCACAGGTGTCTTTCTATGTAAATCTAAGATCAAAATAACTGACTGCTGCCCTGTTGTGTTTCCCCTGCAGTCCCAACTCTGTGGGGAGGCAACATCGTTAGCCACGCTGCTGCACAGGAAGAATCTTGGAGGGAGATCCTGAAATTTTTGGACAAAAATCTGAGGGCGTGAACTCGATTTCCATCTGTTATCTAAATGATTCGCAGAATTGGGCTTGCTACAAAAAGTGCACAGATTCACCACAAGGAGGTGATAGATTATGATGACGATCTGTAACGAGTTGGAAGTACTGTAATGGCGATGCACATCTCTACTGAAAATTATAACCACAATAATAAACATGTTAATCAAAATGAATGCTTTTTTTGTAAGACAGAATATTTGCTACATTTCTTACATTGGATCAGTATATTGTACAAGTGGTCAGAATGTTGCAACTGGTTGGTGTATGCATTACTGTACCATAAAATGGGGTGAATAGTTAATGACATGCGGAAGTAACCATGGCAACAAGGGCAATAAACTCTTTGAAGTCTACCTTCAGGTCATCGTTCTGGTCAAGGTATCCTCTTGTATGCCAGAGAATATCAGATTGTTTCTCATCTTTCTGCACTGTATGTCCAATAAGGTCCTTACATTTGCTAATTGTCCAAGGTTATAGAAGCAACTGATTTTTTTTTGCACTTCTTCCACCACACACTTCAGGAAGGCATTTTCATTGTCAGGTCTTCAATCTGCTTTTGGCTAAACTCTAGGATGCTTTGTTAACTCACGGGTGTCTTCTTGTAGTGAGTCAAGCATGTCCAACTTGCTTAGCTTTGTATTGATTGATTCCAGCACAGATGCATCCGCTTCCATGACACCACCCGGCTCACTCATACTCTCCGACCAAGGTTGTTGGGATCTTGGATTTTTCTTGGGCACAGGTTTGTCAGTAGACTTTTTAGATCCCACTTTGTCAATGCCCTTCGGCATCTTCAGTAGGTTAGAGGGCTTGGGCAGTGAAGACCTCTGCGGTTTTGATGACATGGACCACATCACGATGGCCGTGACGACGGAACTGCAGAGGACCCCAGAAGAATTCTTCCAGGAGTACAGGAAGACATGGCAGGGAGTCGAACCAAGTTAAGTTTTTGTACTTGAAGTGAACTTCTTTAGAGCAAGTGATGACTTTTGTCTATGGATATACAATATTGTCGTGACCCACTGTTAATTTCTGTTGGGGCAAAGTGGGTGGTGCCCCTCAAGATGGTTATTATGGTAGATTTTGGGTTCAAGCCTTATAGCCAAAACATCAACCTCTCTGAATATAGCATGAGAAATAATCAAAATTATCTTTGATATAGAAATTAAGTGGAAATTCTCCTTTTGACAATTATTTTCCAAACAATTGCTTGAAAATTCTTGCAGCGAAGTATAGAAATAAAGTGTTGCATATAGATATCTGTTTCCTACCTTTAAATCATTGTTCATAAATATTGTGAGAGACCATTAACATGATCGGCCGCGACATGTGGAGGTACTCGTCACATAAACGAACTTTTCTACGGTACTGTATTCTTAAGTAATTGAGACGCATTTGCAAACGTTTCCAACTGACACGGTCGCTGGAAGACCGGATTTGTACTGTTTCCTGTTTGCTGTGAGTGTCTTACTTACTTCCGGGTTGCCTGGATATGAACTCACCACGCCCCGCCTTCCTGCATCTGACGTCAAGAAACGGGAGCGCAGCTCGAAAAAAAAAATTACCAATAACGAATTCAAACGTCAAATTCACATCAAATTATCCGCGAATCGGTGCCCGCGGGACGGTGAAAACGTTCTTTGACCAAGCAGGAAAAGACGAGACATCAAGAAAGCAGCGTTTCAAAGGCGTTTTTGGTAAGCGATTACATTCCTTTGCTGCCCGTGTGAACCAAAATTATGCTAACGTTACATTTCCTAGCCGCCCTGACAGATGTAATTGTTGGACAACGATCACTCATTATCGGTCATCAAGCTGAGTGAACGTCAGAAGGACGAAGAACTTTTTCAGCTTCTTCTGTTGACGTCTTAAGAAAACATAACGCCAACTCTCTATTTTATTATTTATTTATCTATCGGTATCACCTTGGTGTCGCGCACTGTCTCCGTTATTTCGGCTTGAAACTTTGGGGTGATATTTAAGATTTGATGTGAACGGGTTGCTTTCCAAAAATATAACCATCTTATTGATTGCATAGTGATTTGAAATGTCATAAAAAAACATGTCGCAAGTTCGACAGTACCACCGACAAACAGGTGGCATGTTTGGTAAACAGTCAGTCTTTTCTATTCCGAAAAACAGTTCCACAATACTCGATAAATGAAAGCAATTGTTGTTATTATATTGCACGTTTGTAATTCTACGAATTTCGTAGTGTGGATTTTTCAAGGAATAAACTTGACCTTGAGATTGGTCGATGCTGACCTTGGTAGAGATGTTTGGGCACTGTCCCTCAGAACGGTGATTCATGATTAAAGATTATCAGGGCAACGGGGGCAGCTATACAGTTCCATTTGAGTAGTCTTAAAATAATTGTTTATTGACTACAATCAATGTACAATGAACCCTCAGGTTTCGTGATGAACCAATTCTAACACATCGGACTAAAACTGAATCATACGAGAACTGAAGCAAAATTCCTTGAGGAAATTATGTAAATCCAATCATCCATTCCATACACCCCAAATTTTGAACAAAAAATGACATTTATAGAGAATAACTATATTTAAACATTTATGAAACAATGTGAAATACTAAACACATAAAAATGACGAAAACTGATAAATGAATCTTCACTAAAAACTCTTGATGACCTTTGAAAGACTGCGAGAAAAATCACCTGGCTCTGGATGGAGATTTTCCTCAGATGTGCCTCGGCTTAATGAAGGTTAGGAAACATTGCCTTCGAGATTGGTGGCAAATTTAGCGATGCAATGACCCACTTCCTTCCATCGCAACACCTCGCTTCCCCACATGCTCTGTATTCATTTGCTGCTATAATTAGCCCAGCATATGCAAGCCCCACGTCACACTTTCCAGCTCTGTTTTGACTAAAAATCTCCTCAGTGAGGTCCAGACATGGCCGAGCTGCTGAGGCTGCTGCTGCAGGTGTCGGAGAAAGCCGCCAATGTGGCTCGCGTCTGCAGGCAGGAGGCGGCCCTCTTCCAGCTCCTGGTCCAAGAAAAGACCGGAGATGACAAGAATAAGAAGTTTGTGCAGGACTTCAAGACGCTTGCGGATGTTGTGATTCAGGAGGTGATCCGGCACGATGTTGGCGCTCAGGTATGGAGGTGTCCTCCACTCGGGAATGATGCAAGGGTGACCGTTTTGTTCTTTTGTTCCTCTCATTGATGTGCTCGGTGTCTTTGTGTTCAGTTCCCTGAGATGGTCGGCTTCATCCACGGAGAAGAATCCAACAAGTTTGAAAATGGACTTGGTAATTTTCTAGAGTAGTGATTCTCAAAGTCTGGTGCGAGAACCAATGGTGGTACGCGAAGAAATCACCAAATAAAATCTACGGACTCTGCATGTGGTTGAATATATTTTCAAACAACAATTTGTACTTTTTTTATGACATTTTCAATCATCCAATTTTCTTTATTCGTAAAAAGAGTATTTAGGTAACTTTTAAGACGTGTTGAAGTACACCAGGAGTATTTACATAATTTAAGAGGATATAGCTAAATTTAAGAGAGTAAAATTAATTTTAGGGAAGGTTTCAGTAGACTTAAGAGTATTCTTTTTGGGAGTTTTCCTGCACATGAAAGAATAATTCCAAAATGTGAGACTTGTGGATGTGTCCAATGACTGAAGCCTCACATGGTCTGCCTCGCAGGTGAGAGTGTGACTGTAACCGTGCGCGGCACCGAGGAGGAAACGGCAGCGCTTCTGGCCGCGGTGCTGGACGGCGACCTGACGGCGGCGGCGCTCCTGGCACGGGCCATCCACCAAGACCCGGCCACGGTCGACGCCAGTGCGGACGGACTAACGGTACCGCTCAGCCCTTCCGAGCTCGGCATCTGGATAGACCCCATCGGTGAGCGTCTCGTCTTCAACGCTGCGGCCAAGTGGAACGTCAACGGGGCTTGAGGTGTTTGTCATCCGGGTGATTCAGATGCCACCAGCCAGTACATAGAAGGCCGCGAGGAGGTGCTGGAGGAGGGTCACCTGTCGCCTTCAGGTCTGCATTGTGCCCTTGTCCTCATCGGGGTTTACCTCCGCAGCACAGGCGAGCCCGTCATGGGTGTCATCAACCAGCCGTTCAACCACAAAGAACCAGCAGGTGGAAGGTGAGCTGCACGACTGTTGTACTTATCGCATAAAACCACAATGTACGCAAGTATGAAAAGAAGTACTGGGTGTTCATTTCTTAGCTGGACAGTTGTGAGGCAGAAATGTTTGTGGTCAAGGTCGAGGATTTTTTTTTCTTTGCTTATGTCCTGAAATACAAAAATTCAATGCGAATAACTGACTAATAATTACTGAGTACATAAAACAAATCTGATTGACATCTCATCAATTGCTTTTTGAATAATAGTTTTGAATTTTGAAGATGCTTTGTGGACATCCTGCTTGTTGATTCTTGTCAAAAGCTTTAATCAAAGACAGCATTACTCATTTAGGGACATTTGTCATCTTATGCCAGATGTAATGTCACTGAATAATATTCCGACCCAATCGTTTGTTTCCAGCTGGCAGGGGAAGCTCTTCTGGGGCGTTTCCTACGGCGACCTCAACGTGTGCTCAGTGTCACAACCCAAAACTGGACCCGAAGGACGTCGGGCACTGTCAGTGGTGCTCAGCTCCAGCGAGAAGCAGGTGGTGAAAGACACTCTGGCCTCCCTGTGCGGACCAGAAAAACTGATGTACGCCTCAGGAGCCGGCTACAAAATCTTGTGCGTCATTCAGGGCCTGGCCGACGCCTACGTCCTCTCAGAAGGAAGCACCTTTAAGTGGGACTCCTGTGCACCTCACGCGCTGCTCCGAGCCCTCGGAGGGGGTGTGGTAGACCTGACGAAGAGTTTAAAGTGCAGTTCTGAGGCGAAGGTAGAACTTACCTATCACCAGCCTTGCGCTGAGGGTAAAGGTGCTGACCGCTGGGCCAACTACGGAGGCCTGGTGGCTTATGGAGACTGTTCCCAGCTAAGCAGCATCATCGGGGCACTGAGAGGAAAGCTGTAGTGTATTTGGTGTCTATATCACACTCAGATCTATTATACAGAAAGGTCTGGTGATGTTATTTTAATATACACGACGTGACTGTATTTTTAACCAAATACGTATACGAGTATTCACTTGGGTGAATATTGAATGAATGTTTTTTTTGTTCGTAAGACTGAACAGTTATTTTCCTTTTAATTACGTCTTCCACTGGATCATGTTAAAAAAAAAAAAAGAAAAATTTGTCTCTTGATAGTGTGAGGAGCGGAAAGATGATGTGGCCTCAAGAAGAGCAGGAGTCCGACCTGTAACTCCGGAAAGACTATTTTCATTGTTGATCTGACCTGTCAGATTCTATAAATATGTCAAGTGAATGGAGCGGTGTGCAGTCATGCGCACCTCTCCAACATCTCCTTGTAAGGAGACCCTCCAATCACCTCAGCCAACCTCCTTCCTTTAAATTGTCATCCAAACAATGAGCCATTTGTAGTACAGCATAATGTTTGACCGACGATATGTATGTATAATGGCACTTTATGTTGCTGATATATGCATTGTGAACAGCCTATGCATGCGTGCATACAAACCAGGGCAAAAATGTTGCATTGAGGAAATTATCTTTACTTTGAAAACCAGAGAAAGCAGGGGAAACTTACCCAAGAGTGATATCTTCAAATGGTCTGCCAGCCAGGGAACAAAAGCCCCTGATGATTGTCAGATAAAATTTGTACAATATTTCTGCATATTCTGTTTAAAAACATTAAAAGAAAAGAAAACATCCACTCTGCCGTTGTTTTTTTTTTTTAACTTCCAAGCACCACACATTATGTCCATCAATGTTCATTTTCGTGCTTCGGTGAATGTGTGAGAAGTCAACAATTGCAAATGTTCTCTCTCAATGTTTTTATGGCAACTAGATCAACCAAAGCCTAAACAAGGACGGCAGACCACAAATTGCACATCATTGGAAAAAAAAATAAAATCAAACCAAAGCCAAAACTTAAAATCGTGCTACTTTCTGAGCAAAATATAAATCTGTTCTTTGACTTTGTTCTCGTGCAACTGCTGAGGAGCAATCTCATTTCAAGCATTACAAGCCTTTGTGGTTCTGGCATGGCTCAACTGATCGGACACCACAAATGCATAAAAGATGAGCGGATTTGACACAGGGAGAGGAACGTGGCAGCATCTTGCGTCAACACCCAAAAATTCTTATTCGGAAAAAATCAGAACAGTCAACCACTCCAACCCCTAGAGGCGTCACAATGCAGTGAACTTCATGCTTCGGTGCAGCGGCACACGAACAGCTTGGGCTCATCCAACGGACACTGTCTTTAGTCACAGGCCCTAACACAGCAAAGTATAAAATTGACTCTATACTAAAAAAAAAAAAAAGAGCCAAATTCTGCTAGCTCTGGCAATCTTTACACAGTAGATGTAAACAGTTTAGTCTTCCTGAAGTTTTTTGATGTGATTATGAATGCAAGCAGTAGCGTGAACCCTTCATGTTAAATGCAGACAAAATGAAATTTCTCTCATGTGCTTTTTGTTCCCTTTTGTGAAGTTTGGAAATTTTCATGAAGTGACAGTTTAACTTCTGCTTCAACTTCTTTAGCAGACACACTGAGATTTAGATTGCGATGCCGAGTTGTTTTTTTTTTAAGTGGTGAAGAGAAAAAAAAAAATCTGATTTGATGAAATATATCTGATGAGCAACAGAGGGCAGCACAGGCCATTCTTTGCGCCTGTCACTTTCAATGTTGAATTTTTGGAACCAAATATGGACTCTATAACGTGACTCTTTGCCACTGACATATACTGTAAATGAATGGACTAACAATAGGCCCCTTGAAGCCAGAGCGCAGCCATCTTAAGTTGCCACTGGTATTGACGTCTTTTTGTCATTTCTGAGCTGAAAACAGTTTTACGCTAGGATCTCTGTATGGCGTAATCAGAGCCTCTCAAAGAACAAATTCCACTGTTTGCATCGACTATTCGAGTATATCATGTCAGTATCGTGATTTGTGACTGACAGAGGTTAGGTTTACATTTCACAGCAGATTCAGATGGTCATTGCTTTCATTTCATTGTTGACGGTTCAAACAGGATGCAGATGAATCTTTCAGGAGCGCTGAGATATATCTCTCATGTGAAAAAATTCTAAATCGCACTCTTACCGATGAAATGTGCTTGTAGCGCTTCTTCCAGACTTATTGGTGTAACCGTATGCCATATACGGTGGTATTTTCGCCAGAGACAGAAAATAAGGGGAAAACATCAATGTATTTAAGTTAGGCGAAATTTGAGAGTGGCAACCGAAGATGGTCCCTGGTGGCTTCGCTTCGCCCAACGGCGACAAAGCAGCACTGTTAGTCCATTCATATATAACTCCTTGCTCTATGCCTGCAGTAATACCGCATTTAGTGTAAGGTGGCATGAGAACTTTCAGTTAGCAATTGCATCATGACAGCATGGCAAACGGGTTAAAGCTCAAATACATCTTTGTTAAGTATGACGGAAACCGGTTGAATTTCTTTTTTGTTTTTATGGTTTGTTTTAAATCTAACTGCTGGCAGAGATGCTCCCTGCACTATAGTGATGTAACACTGATGCAGTGATGCTAACAAGATCATTATGGTCACCTTGGTTAGTTGATTACAGTGAACCATGCCTGGTGAAACAATGGCTTGCGAAGATTTCGTTTCTGAAGGAAATGAGCGACTGGAAGTGGCAAAGAGCAGGTGAATAAATGATGCTTTGCGGAGAGTTGGTAGGAAAGATTGAAGAAGAATGCGAGGCTACAGTCAGTGTGAAGATGAAGCCAAACAAAGGTGAACGGAAAGCTAACACACCACCACTGGCACCTCTTTAACCTTCCATCGTGTTAAATGGAGTCCACAGCTCATCTTCGGGTTTTGTGGGAACCCAGCCTTCCCAAGCAACAGCAATCTCCTCGAGCTGGGATGTCAGCAAGACCCAAAGCGGCCTGTGCTGAATGTGTCCCTGGGTTGTTTTCGTAGCTGTCCCATCTCAGCAGACTTCACCTCTGGAAGGGTTTGCGGACTTTCTTCTTTCGCCGAGGCGGAGGTTTGCCGCCATCGGCCCACGGCTCGCTGGGTTCGGGCCGCTGGGCCCCCGGCATGAAAAAGCCCGTCTGGCCAGAGGGGGAAGAGAATGGGGGAGCTCCGGCACCGGTCGGGGGGTGGTGAGATGGACCTGAGGGGAAGAAGCCCCCGTTGGCTGGCATGTCACTGGGGGTTGCTCCCTTGAAGATGCGATTGAAGAAGTCCTGCAAATCTGCCGGGTTGGCTGAACCGGGACCGTGCTCTGAGTGCGGCCTTCAAGGAAGAAGGGGTGGGGGGGGGGGGGCGGATACAGGCATCAGACATCAAATGTTTCAACAATAGGAGGCCTGCTGCTGACCAAAAGATGGAACACAGTGGAAGAAATTACAGAAGAGATAGAAAAGAGAGACAAAATCATAGAAGACATTGAAGACAATAGATTAGGTCTGCCCCTCCATGAGCCGGAGTTTCATAAAATGATAGGCAATAATGTGGACTGCACTGCATCAGCACTGAACCTATTCAGACACTATATAAATACATAAACCTTACATATGTATATACACTATAAAGCCTATTGATCCAAAAAAAAAAAGCAGCCTTTTTCCCCTTTCTTTGTTTATATTGTTGAAAATTGCACTCTACTGCATTGCAATGCCAATTTCAATTTGATTCATTGTGCAACCGTCACTGAGCTTCTGAGAAAATTGCGAAACGTGGACTGAACAATAGAAGAGATAACAGAAGTGATGACATAAGCGAAAGGAGATGATGGACGTTCTGTAAATGGGACTCGCGTCACCTGTTTCTGGCGGCATTGCTGTTGTTCTTGGATCCGAAGGAGATGTGATAGGGCACGCGGTGTGTGTCTGGAGAAATGACTATCCTCTGGCAACCCGCCCACTCTGAAACATGACACGATACCATCACAAACAGAACCTCTTTAGTGTCTCTATTGCTTATGACTGAAGACACATCACCTGTAATATCATAGACTTTGCCGTCCATACAGGCAAAGTATGTGATACGTAGGCCCAACATGCTGGACTCGGCCCACAGGTCGCCCTCTTCGGCGCTATGCCGACGACTGCATTCAGCACAGAAGCGGGCCTCGGCGGGTTCACGATCCATCTCAAAGCGCCTGCGGTAACAAGGACATATCGGTGCTTGTCATGCTCTCCTGCACACGCGCACACGCTATCATGCCGTGCGTGAATACATACTTGTGCTTGCCTTCACATTTGGTACACATCATGGTGTTCATGGCTTCCTTCAGGTCGTCCTGTAGCTTGGTGAGGAACTCGTTCATGGACTTGGAGAGCTCAGTCGCTGCCATGCGCTTCCTGTGAACGGGACAGAGCAGGTCGCTGGGTGAACGGGGACTTGAAGTGATGCGTGCAGTACCCAGCTGACAGCGCAAAACAATTTCAGTTATGCACCTTGGGGCAGTGTATGCTATCAATTCGGTTAATCAGCTGTTGCTGTTCAGGATATGCTCAGGTACGATATCGTTTTTGCCACTAGGTGGTGTTAAGGCACCCATGTCACTTATTTGCCTGTACACAATCAGTTGAAACCCAAGTCAAAATCATGGATAAGAATTTGAAAAAGAAAAATAGAAATCGAAGAATTTGACAAACCTCACCAAAAGACAAAACCTTTTCAATCCTTTTTGCTGAGGTAAAACCAAATTATTCGTTATTCTTGTGGTGATAAGCTTAACTTGAAGCTCAAAGGTGAGTTTATTTCATGCATTCTTTGCCTGCTCAGCATCGGGTCGGCTGTCAACGTTTACGCAACATCAATAAATTTCAATCAATTATCATTTTTTATAAGGTTATTTTATTTTTTAGATTCTTCAAAACAAATCATCTACGATCCCTGGCTACTCTGTACAGGAAAAGTTTGGCCCCAACATCAAAAAGGTTCAGAACCCCTGGCTTAGACGTCAACTCAAAAGCTGAACATTGCAGAGGTTGCACAATTCCGAAAGTCCCACCTCTAAAACCACGCTATCACCGTCAACTAGGGCAGTCACTATCGAATACTATTTTTAGAATCGATTATTCAATTGATTAATTTACAGTATTTTGTCGTGTTACTAATACTCACAACTCATATTCTCTTCGAGTTTCTGGGTTACTGACAATATCCCAGGCAGCCCGTAGCACTTTGAACGCCTCACCAGCTCGTGGGTGTTTATTCTTGTCTGGATGGACCTAAAAGAGACCAAATGAGAAAAAAGGTTTTGTGTGTAAAGAGACAAATTTATTAGTCATCCACTCATCTGAGCCAATCAATAGGAGCGTTTGAATTGTGTTTTTCAGCTTGCATACCTGGACAGCCAGCTGTCTGTAGGCCTTCTTCAGCTCAGCCTCAGTCGCATGGACTTCCACGCCGAGCACCGTGAAGGGATCAAGCTCGTCTTCTGGGACGTCCGCCAGGGCCAGCAGTCTTTTCAGCTCCTGGCCCGGCGGGCCTCTCCCAGCTCGTCCCGGTGACTCGAAACCGGATGCGTGCACTTGGCTATCCCTCCTGAAGCACTTTCTGGCTCTCTCCACAAAAAGCACAATTCTCTTCCAAAAACCGGAATCCTGGAAAACTGTCCAGTATCGTTTTCCCCTCTCTCCACCAAGCCGGACGAAGACACTTTTCACTCGCTGGAACCCGAGCACGACCAAAGCATAAAGAAGTCTGAGAGTTGATAAGGCAGCTTGTTTAGTCCACTTGAGTGACCGAACAACTTTATCCGCCCCATCCGCGCCTGCACATTTCGTCCATTTTAAAATCCGACAGGCATCTGCCTTCATTCCCGGTATGTCTGTGATCTTTCCAATGAGCTGCTGCCCCAAGTGGTAAAGTTTCAACCCTCCGGTCTCCACACCAACGCCACAATTATGAGTTAAAGTGACGATAATCTCAATCAGCATGTGGACACAGGTGATGCACCAGACGCTGACAGACTCTGACAGCATTTCTTTCAAAGCAAAGACGATTTGTTTGCCCGAGCGCCTGCGGCCACGGTTCAATTGATGGTGGTGATGGTTGCGTCTGCGGGCCTGCTTGTGCCTGCCGCCACTCGACACAAAACTGCCTTTTTGAAAGGAGGGCGGCGTAGAAGCACTCTGAGTGCCTTGCTCTGAAACTGATCCTCCACTCCTCAGTTTGCACTTCCTTCCCGAGCCGAAGCTTCTCCAAGCCGACTCGCCATTCATATGCTGCTCCTTCGCAGATTCATCCTCCTCTTGATTTATGACCTGGGAGCTCACGTGACCATCAGCACTTTCATGTTCCATTCCGTCGGAAAGCTCCTCGGTTTCATCTCTGCCCTCCGTGGAGCCGCAGCACTCCACGTCACCAATTCCAGAGTCATGCGGTGTGGCTGGGTTTGTGCTGTCCTCAGCATTCGATGTGTACGCACGGTCATCTTCCACCACTCTCCTCTCCCACTGACTCGACTTATTTACTGAAGTGAAATCACCATCAGTGAGCTCCTCACCAGAATCTGTAAGGGCATCCATCTCTCTCGCAGCTGCAACTCTCTCCATCTTCCAATCTCTTATTTCAAGGCAGTGAAAATAGATTCTTGTGGAAGATGAGCTCCTAACGCCATAATCGGTTGCAATATTCTCCCCAGGCCCTCACTCCAATGTGAGACTGGGGACTTTTTAGATATCATATCAGCAGCTGATTTGGGCTTTTAAATATTTGAAATCATGCAGCAAGGATATATCTGGAAAGAAACACCACAAACACAACACATAAATTGACAAAAAAAATGTGTCAGGGACATAATTCTTCGTAGTAAAAGGGCTTAAATTGTTGGAAAGGATATGTATTATCAATCAATGAATTAAATTTCATTTGTAGTTTACATGAGTTAGAACAATCTCCTCTCATTTTTCCAAAACGACACACACACACACACACACGCACGCACGCACGCACGCACGCACGCACACAAAGGCTACGATTTAAATCTCAAACATCTTTCACGAAAAGGTAGAATGTTAATAAGTAGCTATTGTGGTGTTGCAGGCATTGCACACAGGCCTGAACTTCAGACATGCTTCTTAATCATAAACTATTGCAGATCATTGACCGCAACGTTGTGAAAAAATGAACAATGTCAACCATTCAAGTCCTCCAAATATCATCGAAAATGTTAAATATTTTGTTTGCACTACATTTGCAATATACTTTGTATATCATGACACTGCACTTCAATGTACATTCCCACTATTCACAGTCGATTTATGTAAATAAAAAAATGAAGTCACGTGAACAAATTAGACTACTTTTTAAAAATAAATCCTATGAATTTTAACTTTTCACATCAACAAAATGAAGAAATGTCACTGGATCTTTAACTGCTTCTTGCTAGATAAACGTAACCAACAGTTTGACTTAAAGCCGATAGATATAAAGTGGATATAAATCGTGTTGCAATTGTGTTGGATAGTTTAACCGTTAGAACCAAAAACAAAGCCATTTCATGTTCATGTCAGCCAGCTGCTTTAGAGGCGGCTAATGCCAGCAGACGCCCTGATTGTTAGCCTTGGGAAACACCCTACCAAACGCGGCAGTCGAACAGGCGGGTTAAATGAGTTAACTTTAGTTCCACTGCCTGTCGGCTTGTTCGTTAAATGCTGAGAAAATGCGGCGACAAAATACAAACACAACTACAAATTGTGCTTTAACAAGAAAACATGTCACCGTTGAGCTAACTATTCGCTAGCGACGAATGGTAACAGTTAGCTGACAAACCACAGTTTCCCCTTCCTGTGAGAATAGACCAAGCAGTTTAAACATCATTGGAATACTGACAAGACGGACATCTAATTTTCATGTGTATTCAAAATACCCTAGACACCATTTATCGCTGTCGGATAAGTGTATAACCTTGTTTGGGAACAGGCTGCCAGGTGCCCGTGGTGTTGTTTTTAATGGTCCTCCTCCTCTTCTTCTTCGTCTCCTCTTCATTTTTTAACTTCTTGCTTCCTGTTCGGCTTCTTTTTTTGCCGGACCTTTCCCGAGTCCATCAACATGTTTGAGCGCTACTGCCATCTATTGACCAGGAAAACCAGGAGGATTAATTGACTGCAAGATTTTCCAGGGCCAATTTCAGTCACTAAAACAAGATACTTTTATTTGTATTTCGAGGGGGTTTATACATTATTAATGCTTAAACTTGTTTTTACATAACCAACTGAAAGGTTCATTTATTGAGCTCTCCTTACCTCACTGGCCGTCTTGTTTCAGTCACATTTTAATGTTGTTTTGGATAAAATTGTGCATTTACTGTAACCTAGCGTATTTTCTTTGTTCTAGGAAGCAGTTTTGAGTGAGCCTTATCCAAATGTTTAAGGGCCTATAGGCATAGATTTTGGGCATGGAGGTCCTTCCTGACTCCGACCCTCCAAGCTTATCTGTGCTCGTGGCTGGCACCGAGTTGGCTTCGTGGCCCCAAATTTCCCCCATATTGTATAGTTATGATTTCTCTCAAAAGGCCATTATCACGGAAATTATCATATGATCAATCTGATCTCCCCGTGTTTTGTCTTCTATTTCAGGTCCTCTCGCTTCTGCACACATTGATACTAAATAAATAAATACAACTTGCATTTTCAGTTCACTGAACACTCTAAATTGTCTGAAGTGCTAATGTGAGTCTAAATGCTTTCTCTGTCCATATGTGCCATGAGATTGGCAGGTTATCAGTGCACGTCTTCACCTCACCTCTGGCCCAAACTCATCTGGGAAAAAACCCAGCTCACGTGTCTTATTAGTGGGCAAGCGATCCAATGCTTTGTTAAGTCTGCTTCTCAATGTACAGTAAGAGCCGACAGCAAAGGATTAAAACAGGACAAGGCCCAAAGATATACGGTACTGTATTATCAATCATAACAAAGCCCTTTTACATATTCAAACTACAGCGAGGCACAGTTGGACTGGTTAGCACGTCCGTCTCCCAATACAGAGGTCATGGGTTTGATTCCTTCCTGTGGAGTTTGCATATTATCCCCGTGCCTGCGTGGGTTTTCTCCGGGTACTCCAGTTTCCTCCCACATTCCAAAAACATGCATGGTAGCTTACTTTAGCACGCTATATTGTCCCTGTGATTGTGAGTGTGAATGGTTGTTTGGCTATGTGTGCCCTGTGATTGGCAGGCAACCAGTTCAGGGCATGAGGATGAATGGTTGTTTGCCTCCGTGTGCCCTGTGATTGGCTCGCAACCAGTTCAGGGTGTACCCCGCCTACTGCCTGAAGACATCTGGGAATGGCTCCATCACGTCCGCGACCCTCGTGAGGATACGTGGTTAGATAGACAAAAGCTTACTTTTCATAATTTTTTTTTGTTTACTCTTGCTGAGTACTATACAATAGTGAGACCTAACAAATAACCATTCAAACTAGGCATTCACCTAAAAAAGTGTCATTGACGTGTGATTTTTGCTCTGTCTGGAGGCACTGGAATGCCCCTGAAAAGCTTCATGTTCCTGAACACATATTGAAGACGCAGAGGGTTCATTCCAAGCCCCCCACCACCGGTCCACCACCACCCACATCTTCAATTTGAAAGCCGCCTCTCTACCGGGAGAGGAAGGCTCTTTTTCGGTCAGATGGCGCGTTGCAGTCCGCCCCCGTCATTCTCCAGCCCACACAGACAGAGAGAGAGAAAGAGAGGCAGCCAGCGACCAATACGGTGCGCCGGAGGAGGATTTCTGCCAGTGATTTCAGACGAGCCACAGTAGGCTGAGGGGATTTACTACGCCAATCTGACGCTATTGCTTCAAGGTAAGAGACTGCATTTGAAACATGGGAGTACAGGCAGTACATTTTTATCAGCATGTTCAGTTGCAACATATTCAATGGCACATGAATACATTGGCTAGTTGTTTTGATAAACCTAAAGATGATTAAAGATGGGCTTTTTTTCTTTTGCAAAGAGACATCTGTTGTTGGAGAGACTAAGTTCTCAACAGCCTCACTCTCCTTTCTGACCTGAAGAAGGTAAGTGCAGTGACGAGTGAGTAACGCTTTCTTGAGTAGATGACTGAATATCAGTAATGGGAAGTAAAAAAAAAAAAAAAAAAGTACAAAGTTACTGTCCTTAAGTGGTATAATGTATCTGCACTTTACTATTTTTCTGATGACTTTGTGCGTTTACTCACTACATTTCAAAAGCTGATATCTCTTTTTTTTTCCCTCCTGCTTTGGAACTTTTTTTCAACATAACGTTCACGATTTTTAGAGGTAGTAAACTGCAGTTAAGATCTTGCTTGACTGAGGTCCTGGAGCCTTGTGAAGTGAAAAAAAGTGACGCGACATGGAGGAACGTTAACCAGGGAGCATTCACAATAACACCAACTGAGTCAGAGAAGCAAGATATTCCCCATCATGGCCTTATTTACTGTTATGAATGGTGAGGACCGTGTTGTTTCTTGTGCCATCCTAACCACTGACTTCTGGCATTCTGAAATCCTCCGTTTAGTCTGAATGATGTTTTTTTTTTTTTTTTTTTGTCGTTCACATGGAAAAGTCTCTCGTGTCCGTTTAGTCTGAATGATGTTTTTTTTTTTTTTTTAGTAGTTCACACGGAAAAGTCTCTCGTACTTTTGTGCTTTTCACAGTCTGTACTTTTTTTTACGTAAGTGCAGGAGTGGAATCCGTACTCCTATTTTCACAAGGCTTTTGGTTCCACACAAGTAAACAATACTTTTAGTTAAGTACAGAGTGTGAGTACTTCTGCCAACTCTGTTGAATGGTTGTAGTCGAATGAGTCAGCTTTAAAAGTAACCATTAACACGTTTCAATGAAGATGTCCAACTGATGTCGGTAGGTCCAGGTGTCTCACTTGCGCTCATCTTTTGCCTCCAGCGTGCCATGTCTCTGCCACGTACACTTGGGGAGCTGCAGCTCTATCGGGTGCTGCAAAGGGCCAACCTGTTGGCCTACTATGAAACATTCATCCAGCAGGGCGGCGACGACGTACAGCAGCTCTGCGAGGCAGCCGAGGACGAGTTCCTGGAGATAATGGCTCTGGTCGGCATGGCCACCAAGCCGTTGCATGTGCGTCGGCTGCAGAAGGCCCTCCGAGACTGGGCGGCGAATCCGGCCCTTTTCAGCCAGCCGGTCTCCAGCTTGCCCTCCCTCGGGGGGATCCCGCTGTTTAAAGTGGACAGCACGGGTCCGAGCGGATCCGCCGGTGGACCGAGGAAGTCTCTGAGCAACGGGCAGCCGGGCTCGCCGTGTGAGCGGGAGGATCGGGCGTGTCTTACGCCCATGCACAGCGGGAGCCCCCGGAGCCCCTGCTCTCAGGCCTCCCCCCAGCCACCAGATTCACATTACCGGGAAAAACTGTCTCCTATGGACCCACATTGGCTCACCCCAGAGCCAGATGGGAACAGCACATCAGCCCCTGCACCAGCAATCGAAGAGGATCCGCCCAGCCCGCCCGTAGGTCCCCCCGGTCCCTCCACATCTCCAAGCTCATCTTCTGCCCCCGCCCCTCTGTCAGCCTGGCCCTCAGGACAACTGGACGGGGAGACGAGCCGCGCGGTGGCGGAAAGCGTAGAGAGACTTCTCAGGACTCTGCCTCGCTCCGATCCGACAGAGGTGAAGAGTCTGCTGAGGATAAATAAGAAGATCGCTAAGACCGTGGGCCACATCTTCAACATGGGCTCCCAGGATGTGAAGAAGGAAGAGGAGATCCGCAAATACAGCCTCATCTACGGACGCTTCGACTCCAAACGGAGAGAAGGCAAACTACTCACACAGCATGAGGTAAAACAATCCAAGAGCGCAGATGTTTCAAATCCTCATGTGACCTGACTCCTGTCCTGGTCACAGCTTCCATCTGTCTTCTCTCCTCAGTTAATTATCAACGAGGCTGCAGCCCAATTCTGTATGCGCGACAACGCCCTTTTACTCAGGAGGGTGGAACTCTTCTCTTTGGCTCGGCAGGTGGCGAGAAAATGTGCCTACACCTCCACTCTCATGCATGCAAGGTAGGAAAAGTGTGTTTGACTCTCAGCCATTATACGCAATGCTTCTGATGCGACAGAAAAGGGGGGAATGAATAAACCGGTATTCCGCAACCTTTATTGAGCCAAAGCACGTATTTCACCAGACTTATAGCACACTACCAAAAAAAAAAAAGTCACAAAAATAACTGAAGTAATGACGCTCTCGTTTCAGTTTACACATGGACTGAGTGTGAAATCTGCGGATGTTTAGTTGAAGACGAGGCTTGCCAGTCACTATGGTTCACTGGTATCGATAGACGAACAAACATACAGTAGAATATTTGTCGCAAAGGAATTGTGCATTTCAGTGGAATTGACAGTCCAATCCCAATACGGTACAGCAAACATCCAAACCTCATGTGAACCTTAACTCGACTGGGGACAGACCTAATTGGCGGAAGGAAAACAGAGTACCCGGAGAAAACCCACGCAGGCACAGGGATAAATTTATTCCAGTGTACTGCCCTTCCATTATAACTCAAACAGCATATAAAGTAATGGAGCTGCAACTGTATCCATATTTTCAGCAGAATCTATGTATGACGCTGTTGTACAAAGTTTCATGGCAATCGAGTGTTTTTTTTTTAATTTTTTAAAATAAACTAACAAACCAAAAAGGTCGCAGTCCAAACAGTCGCTCTCATTTTTTGATTCGGTGGAGTTCCTCATGGGAAACATGGATGTTGGTTCATCCGCCACATCGAGTGGTGTCACAAAGAATGTTTGTGCCAAAAACACAGGTCACAGGTTCGATGGGATTTTCCAGTGTTTTGTTTTGGAAAATATCTGAAATGTTAAAATCGGAATTGGATGGAACCCTAAACGTGAGCACAGCCGCATTCCAAAGGTCAAAATTTGGATTTTCATTACCCTCGCAGGTCAAACGTGGAGGAGAACAGTGTGCTGCCCCAGAAAAGAGCAAGGCTCGAAGTGAGTTGACAAAGCCCTCTTATGGGAGTGCTTCTGATTATAAC